TTTGTCGACATTTAAATGACATTTTCTTTTTCCCCCTTCTTCGTTCTAATATATTTCGAAAAAATTTTTTTCAATTATCAAAAGTTTTAGAAATTTTTGCTATTTTTGCCATAATCTTTCTTTTGAAAAAAAAAAAAAGAAATTTTCAATAACAAAAAAAATTGTTAAGAAATTTGTTCGTCTCAATTTTCTCAAATAAAACTTAATAAAACTTTGACATATTTTAACAATTCCCAGTCTAATATATTTTTTCTTGGCTAAATAACTTATAGTATTTGTTAGCAGTTAGGGGTGTGCAAAAAATCTTAATTCTACATAGGCATATCACTTAGACTTATTGTACGATTTTGTTTAGTAATAGTAGACATAAACTGGTTGCCAATAAAAAGAGGCAGAAGAAAAGGCTATGATCTAATATGCAACTTTTTGGAATTTATTTCTATTCTTAAAAATAGCAAAAGCTGCCCAATAGAAAAATAAAAATTTTTTTTATCAGTTTTCAATAAGGTTTCTGAACTTAAACAAGTGTTTTTTGTAGAAGAAAGCTTCTCTTGTCATCTTCGACAAAGACGGTACATTGATATGCTTCCATACAACATGGGTACCCTGGGCGATTAATGTTGAAGAGAAGTCAGCCTTTTGCTCTCCTTGCTGTTTTATCTTGGATTTGTCTTTTGAAATTAGCTGAAGTTAAACTGTTCAACACTAATTTCATATGGATTTTAGCTTATTAATTCAGCAAACATTCCTGTTTCTCAAAAAAAAAACATAACTTTTAGAATAGTAAAAAGATTTTTACTTTGTTAAGGTGAACAGAATTTGCATGAAAATTAGGGCAATTAAAAAGACAACAAAAGTTGGTGCACTTTCAGTTCGTGGTCCCACTTTTTTTCCTTTTCAACCAATGAAGCCAACGTGAACACTGACTGTAATGAGTGTTTAATACAACCAGTAAAAGCAATGGGGCCACCAAACTGAAAAAAAACCAAAAAATTGGAAGCTTGAATGTTCAGTTTATCAAATTTTTTGGCTTACAAGAATTAGCATAAATTTAATAACCTGACGGAACTAACTAGCAATTTCTGTAGTAAACTTATTTTAGAATAGTTGAATTAACAAAAATGAACATCACTGAAGATGTATATCGGGTACTTGGATATTGCCCAGAGCAGCAACGGGTAAGACCAGGTCTTTTGGCTTCGGCAACAATGAGTCAGATAGAAAATGCTTTGGCACATCTTTTAATCGAAAAAGGTTTCGATTCCGCAGAAGCTTTATCGGTTTGTGGCTTATTTGTCAATTTAGGTGTTTTAATGCAATATATTTCGCATTTATATTATTAACTAGTGGCATCAAAGCAGTCAAATTTCAAAAGCAGTTCTTGAACTGTCTAAATTTATAAGCTCTTTTTTTTCTTTTATTAATAAAACCACCAAATTGCTACAATAAAACTGTCATTAGTGTCAAGTAAAACAATTTTCAGATTGTCTCCACCGCAATCCAATATTCTGATCAACGAACACAGCATTCTGTGAAACAGATCTACGATCTGCATTATCTTTTTCAAACCCTCAAAGAAAACAATGTCAAAATTGCGCTATGCACATCTGATAGCAGGTACATCAATCAAATTCAAAATTTACGGCTGCTGAACACATGTTGATTAACACACTTTTTGAGTCTTAAAGTTCCAGAATTTTGCAGAAGAAATTAAAAGATTTAAGACTAACGTAGTCTAAGGTCTAATTGTCCGTATAAATGTCTGTAAGGAAAAATTTGGAATCAGAAGAATTAGTTCAGTTTTTTTTCTCTCTTTTTTTTTGCAGCGTTGATCTGATAAAGGACTGAGAATTTTTTATTTTTGCTCACAGAGTCTAAAATCAGTTAAAAAATAACTTTGAATTTCAATAACGGCCATTGAAAAACAGTATTCTAAATCAAAATTAGCTTTATTATTTAATATAATTACAGGAAAAAACAACAGCTTTTGCCCCCAAATGTATACTGTTTGTAGTAGCATTGAAAAGCTTTTTAACCCATAAATAAAAATTCTCTTCCAAATGTTTATTCTTCAATAACTTTAAAAATTTGTGTTAACAGTGTTACCAAAAAATTCAAAAAAGTGGTAACGATTAATTATATGAAATAGATGATAAACAATCTAATTTTAGATTTGATAAAAATCCGCTCAAAAAATAATTTTCGGAACGTTATTACCATGTAGAAGATTTTCATTGGTGATAAAAGCTGGTTTACAATGACTTTTATGTCCTAAGAAGTTTTAGCAGTAACCATTTTATCAAGCTTGGACAACTGCAGTTTATTAGGTGTCTGATTGGCCATTAAGGTCATAGTCGCCGTGCGGCATCTAAAACCTTAGGTTTCTATACTTCTGAGTTATAAGCCAAAAAGACAATTCCTTCGTTTTCAATTTTTGAAGCGACTAGAAACAGAAAAATTTTTTTTACACTCTAACTTATTTTTGTAGCATCTGTGTATCTTTTATTTTCCTCGTTTTTTATGGATATCACAGAACAACTAGATAAGCAAAAAGAATAGTTCTTGAAAAAGTAACCCTGCTACAATTTATGATTCTTGTTCAAGCTTTTGGCTTCCGTCCAGATTCCATCAAACCACTTCTTTTTATCTGGTGATTTCCAGGAAATCCCAAAGCAGTCTTGAATATTAAAGTCGTCATTTTAAATCTGCAAAGCACCATAAATCAGAGTTTTGTTTAATTTATGGTAAAATAAAGTGGAGGAACTGGAGGAAAGTATAAAGAAGTTGTCTAAAAAAATTTGAACAGGCATTTTTTGTCTTGAAGAGCAAAGATTGTTGCAGTATAATTTACGATTGAGCCTTGAAAGCAAAAGAAATATTGTTCTTAGCGATACCTAAGATTTGAAATTTTTTACTTGTTGAATACAAGGTCATAATTTAGAGTATTAAGAATACGAAACAAAAAAATTATTGGTTTCTTATATGAAATGTATAACAGCAAAAGAAAAAAATTGCTGAATCCCTTGAGCAGACTGTCAAACGTTGATGGCATATACAAAATTTTTAAAACAAAAACAAATTTTAGCTAGTAAACAAGCGAAGAAGATTTTGATCTACCAGTCTGTTTCAGAAAAGGGACTTATATTATGCTGAAACGTCTTAAGATTGATAACTTAGTCGATTTGGTGATCTGTGGTGACGATATCGGTGCGGTCCCAAAACCACATCCTCACAATGCTTTGTCCATATGTCGAGAGTTGGATGTGGATCCAATTGTAATTTTTAACCAGCGATTTCGCTTTAAATAGCTCATGTTATCTAGGAAATTTTTTTTTTT